GAAAACGTTTAGAAGGCCAAAAATACATCGGTTCGAAATCTGTAACTAAAGCAACAATGATAAGAATACATGTAAAATTTTATGGAATAAATATTTCATTTCAGAACTTATATGGAATATAATTAATTTCTGATACATTTAATATGAACTACCACTATTTCTAAATGTCAGTACATTTATATTCTTGTAAAATGCCTAATACTGTCTCTCTCTGCGAATATTTCCGCTATGATGTTCTTCATATTCTATTTTGCGTGCCAAAATCTTTTTTGATTTGGTCGGTTCTGGGTCGTCTGCAATACAAGGCGGGAAATATTTACTCTGCGTCATAATCAATACCAGTGATAAAATCATAAACAAATAAATAAAACAACTAAAAATAATCAATCGGCTCCCCAGATCGGTTTAAACATCACTTGAACAATATTCCTTGTTCTAAACGAACACACAAACAGGCGTTGGAAGAGCTGCTTTCGTAAAATCATTAATGATTGAAAGATGTCTGAGAAAGAGGAAAACTTGTGGATATGTAAATGTATTGATCGAAACGCCAGTGGCAATATTATGATATTGGCGCAGGCGCAAAAAGATGGATATAAAAAATGAAATCTGCTTGCAGTCAGGATGCTAAACTCAATGTATACATAGAGAAATTAATGTATACAGAGGGAAATTGCGCCCACTCCAAAACACACACACACACACACACACACATATATATATATATATATATATATATATAAGATATAAGATTTAAGAAACAGCAGATATTTTATATATAATGCTCAATATTAAAAATATAAAAATAATATTAAAAAACCTGGCATTAATAATATTAAACAAAAAGATTACATAACTTAAATATCAATTTTTTTGTTGCTTTCCCCGACTTCGAAGTTTCTGATAAATGTCCGTTCTCCAGGGGATTCTGGTTCATGAATACGCACGTGTAAAAAACAGAGTAAAAAATGGAAGCGTTTAGTATGAGGTTTTATTTAAAATTCGATACAGGCACCAGATTTCGCTACCAGCTGATCTGGCCGCTCAAGAATTGCTTCAACTGATTTCACCGGGATCTCTTGTGTTATGGAAGACATCACTTACTGTACTCGCCCTTCCAAAATCTTGGTTTTAGTATAAGTTGACTTGCTCCTTTAACCAACCCCAAAGAAAAAAGTCAAAGGGTGTTAAGTCAGAACTCCTGGCTGGCCACTCATACATAAAATAGAGAGTTATTTTTCAATCACCCTGTATATATCCTCTGATGGTCGGTCGCTCCTTGTCGTGGCGGAGGGGTTGCGTGGTTCAATGAATCTGAAGCGATGCTTTCGGGAGCTCTAAACTCTTGATAAGGTCACTTTTGGCAACAAGGTCAAAGATGAGGACCTAGACTAAGCCCGCCCTACCCCAAAGACTCCAACGGTAGAACAATCGGATGATGATTACAAAAAATTCAACGATTGAACCAGCGGATGAAGAGGGCTACGCATGTCGGACATACTACAGAAGGCGCCACACGAATGTATAACTGAGCTAGCGGCAGTCCGTTGCAGTTTCATAACTGGATTCTGCATGTCTCATCCCATATGTGCTTGCAGAGGAAGGTCATTATATCTAGTGTGTAGGTCACGTCCTGGCAAGTTGAAGTCCACCTTAAACAAATTCACACCATCGGCACTTTCTTCTGATCTGATTTTCTTTCACTTCCAACAAACTCTTGCAAAACGAAACGGCGATAGGGAATGGGTGACAGGGGCCGGTTTTGGTGAAATTGGAGGCATCTTGCCATGAACCTGCACGTTGGCGGCGAATGTAGTTATCAACGTCATCATGATAAAAGAAGCGACTAGATAGGAGATAAAGCCGACGACAGCTATATATATGGTCTAATGCTTTTGCTATGTATTTAGAGGTTCAGTATTTACATTAGTCGGACTATTGTCCTCATCTTTGTCGCCATATTTGTCACAAAGTTTCGGCCGTTGTACGCTCCGGCCTTCTTCAGGTGGTTGGAATTTCGAACTGAACCCTTTATTTCGATCACTGGGGTAGACTGTTCTAGCTCCACGTGCCATGTTTGATGGATGTCAGTTATCTCCTGCTAAGTTTCCCTCTGAAAGTTCTCCACTGCCTTAACCGGGTATTGAACTCACCTTCTTTGGGTCTGTCACTGGATCTAACCAACGCCTTTATCCACTGTGCCATGTGTCCTTGAGGACAAATGTTGTGAAAATATGGCGACAAAGATGAGGACAATAGTCCGACTAATGTAAATACTGTACAGAATACCTCATCTCAGAAATATAGTATTTAGAGGTTTTTGATAAAATCCAAAGAAGAATGTGTGCAATGTTATAGGTCCTGACCTGGCATCTCGGCTTCAGTAAATTTACTACAGCCGTAAAGTAGTTTCCCTCTGCCTTTTCTATAAATATTTTCACGGTAATTCTTTCAATGAGCTTTCCCCTTTTGGTACCTAGACTTTAGGAATTTAAGCGCAGTACTAGATTGGCGGCAAGGTCTCATCCTTTTACAGTTGAAATGGCTAGATGGAACCGTAAGTTCTATGATAACAGTTTCTTCTCTCACACTTCTCGCTTGTAGAAATCTCGTCAGTCATCTTGTTTTCGAGTCAACTTTCGTCTTCAAAAATTTAAATTCAATGTCAGTCGTTTATATTTTGTCTTCTTAATTCCTATTCTTTTATTGTTCTCTCTTTTCTTTCTATCATATTCTCTCACACTCAGCAACCACTTGCATCTTAGTGGCTTTATTACCTGTCTTAGTTGGAAATTATCTATCTATCTATCTATCTATCTATCTATCTATCCATCTATCTATCTCTCTCTCTCTCTCTCTCTCTCTCTCTACATATATATATATATATATATATATATATACACACACACACACACATATATATATATATATATATATATATATATATATATATATATATATGAATGAAAAAATATACGGAAAAACAAACAAAAATCCTAATATACAATTAT